GGAGACTTCAGTGAGCCCAAGGCCTTCATTGCCCTTGACCTTGCAGGTTTCTTGTCTCTTGACAGGGAGGGAGTCAAATAAACCTTAAATGTCATTCGAAAAGAATAACTTAGAGACACATGTTGGGGCACCTATACACAGCTTGTATGAGGTCAGGGAAGGCTTCTCTAAGTACATGACATACATTTGGGCCTGGAGATAAATGGGAGTAGGTGAAGGGGGCTGGGGAAGGGTGGGGAGAGTCTTCCAGAAAGGGGGAACAGCAGATTGCTCTCACCATCAGCAATTCAGAGAACAGAAAGTCTGACAAGACCGCATCTTAGAATGTGAGGAGGGAGAAGCCAGGTATGTGGACAGGCAAGTGGGTGGAATCATGAAGAGCCTTCTAAGTCACTTTTATTAATGGAGTCTGGGCCTTTTCTAAGGACAATAGAGAGATGTGGAAAGGTTTGAGTTGAGGGCTGGCCAGGTACTTTAGAAAGGTTCTTTGGGGTTTCACTGTGGAGGTTGTATTGGAGGTTGACACCCGTTCCAAACTGAGGTGATAGACCAGAGGGTGAGTCAGGATGATGGACATGGAGAGAAGGACTAGAACCAGCAGGTCCTTGGGAGGCAGAACCTACAGAGGTGGCAACGGAGTAGATGGCAGGGAGCAAATGCCATTAGAGAGCGGTGCCAATGGGGAGACAGATCAGCTTGGCGGAGTCTGGGGCTGAGTTTCCTGGAAACAGGCTCTGGAAATCCAGCTGTGAGAGAGGCAGAATTAGAAGGAAATGTTGATGCCCTGGCTGGGGTGGACCAGTGGATTGAGTGTGGGCCTGCAAACCAAAGGGTCACTAGTTCGATTCCCAGTCAGGGCACAAGCCTGGCTTGCAGGCCAGGTACCCCAACATGGGGCACACAAGAGGCAACCATACATTGATGTTTCTTCCCTCTTTCTAAAAAACAAAAACATTGACCCACAATGCTACAGAGATAGAGACCTCAGCCTATTCATAGGGACTCTGGAGCTGGGGGGGTGGTGGGGACATTCAGAATTGACCCAGATAAGGCAAAAGGGCCAAGCTTTTGTATCTTTACATCAGCCAGACATTGTCTGCTCCCTGGAAGGGTATAAACAGGTCCCAGGAACGTCTGTAGCCAGTTTGCAGGGAGGAGCTCAGCTATGGTAGTCAGCAGCTAATGTTCTCGGCCACTGGGGCTTGGGCGCGTACACCCTGAAGAGAGGGTCTGGACAAAGCACTACAGTACATACTACAGTGGCGGAGGATCTTATGTTTCCCTTAGGACATCCTTATTTTTAGGGGCCTGGAGGGTTATTATTCATTCCTTAGCTCGCAAACAACTAGTTCGTTTCAACTATGGGGTGTGCAGGGCGTTGTGCTAACCGGTGCGGTCGCGTGGATGTTGAGGCAGATGCAAGGATGGATATTCACTTACGTAGTTCCCAGGAAGCCTCCTTACTGCCGGGGACCAATGAGATTCATTCTCAGGCGCAACTGAGTCCCCATTTCCTGTGGGTTCCCTCCTTCTTATAGGATTAAGCCTTTCCTTTTCTCAGATACTTTTCTAGCTTTCTCTTCCCCTCTTCTTGGAATTGAAAGAGTCGGAAATTAGCCCAAACCCCAGTTCGTTTCAAGGAAGCCCAGACACAATGTGATAGTCACGCACGGTTACCTCGGTCCCTGCCCTTCTCTTTAGTCCGGCAAGGCTGCCTTCCCAGCATAATTTAGGCCTCCAGAGACAGTAGGAGACAAAGAATGCTGGATGCTTCCAGCAGCCGGCACTTGGATGTCATTGAGATGTGCCCGACTTTGAACAGCTGAATTAATTAAAGGAGGAGGCCAGGAGCCTTAGGTGGCTTCCGCGTGCTGGTGACCTCTACCAGCAAACCAAAATCTAAGCCTGGAAAGACTTCATGATTACAAAATCTAAACGCCGAAGACAATCAGACAGCCAACTGGGCTTTCAACTACAGGCAGTCAAATAAGTCCCTTTCTTCGTCTCTGCATCTTCTTTACATCACTCATCCCTCGGCTTGTGTAGGTGGAGTGCTCCAAACCAGGGGTCCCCAACCCCCGGTGGGGGCCTGTTGGGAGCCAAGCTGCACAACAGGAGGTGAGCTTGCAGGTAATGCCCTTGAATCCTCCGGAAACCATCCCTCCCCACCCCCACCCGGGGCCTTGGAAAAACTGTCTTCCACGAAACCGGTCCCTGGTGCGGAGAAGCTTGGCACCCACCACTGCTCCTAACCGCTTCTGGCGTGGCAGAGCCTAATTAGCATAGATTTTTGCTCAAATAAACTCTTAAAACGTTTAATGTGCTCAGTGTATCTTTGAACAGAACACAACCCCCACCCCTTCAGGCGGCTGAGGGAAAGGCCTCGGCTTGCATTTCCAAAGTAAGGCTCCGGAGCAGGGAGGAGTCTCCGCCGCCGAAAATCTGCTTATGAAATTGACTAACAAAGGAAAAGGAAAATCCTTTCCTAGATCTCCCCTCTGTTTATTTCTGTTGGGCAAATAATAATTTCAATCTGGTTATCAGGTCTTTCAAGGGTACGTTTTGGGAAATAAAATAAATCCCGATAATACTACTACTTTGATGTTAAACATAAAAGATTGATTTTTTTTCCCTTCGTTGACCACTCAGCTACAGATCTTTACATTATAATTCTAGATTTGAACAGTGTAGTAATTCCTTTAAAAACATGCCAACAAATTGGACACATTAAACTCTCTATAAACGCCTAGGCCTAGCTTCATTTAGAGCTACAAAATGTGTACTTCAAGTCACAGGGCGGGGTGGGGGTGTTGGGGAGGGTTTTCGAGGACTTTTGATGGTGGGATAAAGGCTTTTTTTGTTTTTTTTTTCCTACTCCTTTCCCTCAAGGAACGCACCTTTGTGTGCTCTGCCGAACAAAGGAATCTCCCAATTTCATAGTGGAATTTGAGGGTGGAGGGATGTGATGTGTACACTGATATCTATATAGCCTGCAAAGCCGGCTTCAAACCACAAAAGGATTAAAAAAAAAAAAAAAAGGAAAAAGAAAGCTGGGATTTTGCAATATACCGAATGGAGGAAAGAAACCCAGACATTCAGAGTTAGCAATAAAAACAGCAATGACCAAATCCAAAAGGGGTTGGAATGCCTTTAGTTTCTAAGAATAATATGATTTCTTTGTTCCGTCCCTTATCTACAGCACTCAAATAATAGCTTATTTCATGCTTGCAGTCAGCCCAGTTACTTCTGTTGTTGTCCAAAGCTGAGTGGTGCCCAAGATCAATTTACATATGCAGAACAACAGAAAGAACGTTTGCACTGATTTTTTGGGGGAAATGGGGTAGTGTCATTTTTTATTTTTTAAACACAAAAACTTGTTTTTTCTGCTGTGCAATTGAAGGATTTCCTCCAATGGACTAAGATGCACGCTGTGTTTTTAACTCTTGCTGTACCTGGCAGAGGCGTTCCTCTGAAGAAATCTACAGAACTGAGACAATTGGCAAGAAATTATCTTTTAGTTTGGGTTGTTAATGGTTTTTAAAAGTAGATGCATTGTTATCTGTTGCCAGTTTTTTTTGTTTTTTGTTTTTGCAAATGATGAATGGAGCTTTCAAGCTGATTTCCTCCAGCCTAGGTCTGACCAAAACATTGGGCTTTGCACCAAGCTCTGCTCAAAAAGTTATTTGGCATTTTGGAGCCTCCAGGCAGTTCTACACGAAGTCACTTTATGCTAAGCAATCCAGACTTTAGTGCAGTGCGAACCATTTAACGCTGCTGTGCTGTGCTTTCAACTCTTAAGTGAAGGGAATGGGGGAGGGGCGAGAGCGTTTTGCAGTAAACAAAGATTTCGAATCTAGGGAACCTAGGATTTACTCTGGTATGCATATTATGAAATTCCGTATATTGTAGTATACGTAGTGTTATCAAGATTTCCGATAGGCAGGCCTTTGGATACTTTTCAATGCGTGTAATGTTTTCACATGCATATTAATAAGGGCCCACTTTTGGGAGAAGAAAAAAGGCCTCCTTTCAAATGAAATCAAGCCCAGGTAAAGCTGAAACTCAACCCACAGAGTACTGGCACTGTTTTCAGGCTAAAAGAAGATGAGTTTCTATTTCATCGTCTTGTAACACTGATAAATGTGAGGCCGTGGCTGGCAAAATTTGCAGATTACATAGGTCTTTCTAAGCACGTGTAAACGTGTGTCCCAATCTACGTGCAACTCCAAACAGGTTGCTGTGTCAAATGAAAGACCAACAGCTCTTCTGGGCGACAATCATTTGGCTCATTTACATTAAAAGCCTTGAAAAGCAAAAATGCTACTTCAATTTACATCATACCGTGTCCCCATAACAGAGAACAATGGCTTCCTCAGTGGAAGTTAATGCAAAGGAGAGGCACACTGAGATTTAAAAAAACAACAAAGCCAACTTCTCAGCACTTTGCAAATAGTAACCAATTAATCTAATTTAAAATAAAACACAAAACTGCTTCCTATGCTGGGAGTTTTCACTGCAACAGGGGTGAGCCTTTTGAAGAGGGTAAGGTGACATTTTTCAGATGCTTCTATTTTGTGCTGTTTCTAGGGTACGCTCGCACAATCAGTTTGATAAGGGGTTTCTCTCTCCGTTTAAAAGACCTGTCCACTGAGTGGAGGCCCACGAACCAGGTAGCAGCCAGGACGCATGACTGGATAAACAGCATACTTGATGTGGTGGTAATATATTGTCTCTGTCGGATGTGTTGAGGATGATACACCTTTGTGGGCTTTACGGGGTATATGTATCCTTTTGTATTCTTCAGGCTAGGACCGCCTGCTGCATGCTCATTATGTGCTTGCTACCTTTGTACACCACCTCCCTTCTTGAATTTAAAGACCTGGCTATTACATATTGTTTACTCAATACCATTCCCCTATTTAAACACACACACACACACGCACATGCACACACCCCAACCCCAAAACCCAACTACATGAACAGAACATGCCATGTTTCGATTTGGCCCCAGTGGCTTTTTCTTTGCAAGCAAAATGTGTCTTTTACACCAGGGCTTTCTGCCCACCCCGGGGGGTGTCTTCCATTCTTTTGTGGCTCAGTGGAAGGCGAAGAGGGCTCCAAGCCACTAACTAAACCGAGGACAGCCCCTTCTTGCACCTCCAGGGAGAATTTCAGATTGACTTTATCTGAAGATAGCGTGCTCTCTTCTTACTTATTTGCCACCATTACGAGGATAACAAAACACCACCTTGGCTTCAAGATCCTGGGTAGAGGCTCACGGTCTTTCTCAACCATCTTTGGCGAGGCCTTGCTTCCTTCCACTCGAGTAAGTTGCGGCTTGGGGCTATGGAGAGGACTGGGTAAGAGCCTGAAATGTCGTTTGAAAAAAAAGCAGCCCTCCCTCCATCCCCTCACCACCACCACCACCCCGCTCTCCGGGGCGAAGCTGCAATCCAGCAGCCCCAGATGGGCGAGACTTGGCAGGTCTGCGGGGCTCGTCTTCCCTCCGCGCCGCGGCACCGGCCGGCCGCGGGGCTTCGCGCTCTGGCTCCCGAAGCCTCCCTCCCCCCACCGGCCGCCCCCTCCCCCTCTCCCGCGCTCCCTTTTGTTCGCTCGCCGCTCGGCCCGAGCCACCGCCGCCGGGCACGCACCTCCAGCCGTAGGCCCCGGGCTCCGGGGCCGGCCCGTCACTGCCGCGCGGCCTAGAGCGCGGCGCCCGGGGAGGCGCGGGGCCCGGGCCGGGCGCAAGGCGAGGGCGCACCGCGAGGCCGCAGCGGCAGTGGCGGGTCGGCCCGGGAGCCTGGGAGGCGGCGGCGGCGGCAGCTGCGGCGCGAGGCCGCTCCACCACACACGCACACACAGACCCCGGCAGTGGGAATGCAGATGACACGCCCGTAACATGGAAGCCGCCGCCGCCGCTACCACGACAGCAGCCGCAGCCCCAGCAGCAGCCGCCGGCGGCGCCGCGCTGAACAGAGGTCATCCGAGCTGCGGCCCAGACGCCCGGGCTTGACCGCTGTGAAGGCCAACCCTGGGAAGGGGGTGGGTGTGCGCCCGGGGGGCGGGGGCCGGGAGGGAGCCGGCTAGCGAGGGGCGTAGGGCCGTGGAGGAAGGGGCGCGCGGGGGGGGGGGGCCCGGCGCAAGCTGTGGGCGCGGCCCTTCGTGCCACCCCGCGGCGTGGGGTGAGCGTGTGAGGTTTAGGCCGTTTCGCCTGACTGCAGTGGCCTGTTCCACACTGGCCTTGGGGAGAGCCAGCCTTCGTGCCCGGCCAGCTTCCTTGGGGGGCCCGAGGACAGGCGGGTTCTGCTAGGCCCCACAGGTTCAGAGAGGGGGGCCACGTGAGCACAAGAGCTTGCCTGCTCCCCCTCGGGGCGGGTTGTGCATAGAGGATTCTTAAAGGCCTCTGTGCCCCTCTTTCCCACTGCTCCTTCGTTTGCCCCCCACCCCCACCCTAGGCATCTCTACTTCTCTGCCCCGAGGTGAAAGGATTTGGACTTCTCCCCCCAGGTGCTTGAAAGAAGAGAAGGTTGGAGGAGGAGGAGGAGGAGACTGGTGGGGGGGGGGGTTGCTGGTGGTGGTGACAGGGCTGGGAGAGAGAGACAGAGAGAGGGAGAGAGGGACGGGAGGAGGGGGCTGGGTGGGGTGGGGGTGACAGGCAGAGAGGAGCCTGGTCAACAAGCCAGCACCACTCAGCCAGGAGGCCGAGGCCGGCCGGCGCCCGCAGCCGGCGCATCCAGTGTGAGCAGACACATAGATTGCTTTCTTGGGGGCTCTTTGTCAGCCACCAACACAGAGAACACACACTGACACACAGGTACACAAAGATCTGAGCCAGGTTGTGGGAGGTAAGTGGGGGAAGGAGAAGGAGGGGGCAACAGTGTCTGCGGTGGGCTTTCGGGTGGAGGGGAGGGGGGATGGGCCCTGAGGGGCTCTGGGGTGCTGGGGAGGTGGGCATTTCCAAGGCTGTGTGCTTGTGTGGCGGTGGGGGACACATGATGACCTTCCCCTCCTCAGGAAGACCTAAAAGGGAAAAGCAACCCCCAGTGAGATCCCCCTGTGCTGATGATTTTCAGGGACTTGTTGGCAACTCAGCGAGGGTTGCCATAGCTTTTTTATGTAGGGTGACCAGAACCGGCTGAAACTGGTTTGAGGCAGATCAGCTCCTGAACACAATGCAGTCACTGAGCTACTACAGTGGGATAGCAGCTTCCTCCCTCCATGGCAGCCAAAAGCAGAGGAGCTTGCAGGAAGGTGCCATCCCAACACAGTATGTGAATGCACACTAGACACCACACAGCACTGGTATGTGGCTAATGGAGTCCTACAAGATTCTGTGTAGAGAAGATGGGGAAAATGTGCAGGTTTGCAAGGTCTGAGATTACTTGGGCTTTTCCTGCCTTTTTCTTTTGCTTAAGGGATGGACAAGGAGCTGAGATTTATGACCCTTATTAAAGAAAAAAATGTGACTTGCCAGGGTGGGGACACTGGTTTATGCAGTCTGTGTCTCTCTCTCTCTCTTTTCTGTTTTTAACAAAACCAAACCAAAATGAACTGATGGATTCGCAATGGTAGTTTGTTTGTTGCTGGAGATTGCTACTTTGCATGCTTTTTTTTTTTCCTCTTTCTTGCAGGGTATGTTCTGTGTTGTGCTTTTCCTTTTAGAAGCTACTAAAGGGTGTTGGGGATACTTCTGACTATTATGAAGGCCAAAAGGTAACAGTATTGTTCTAGGAAATGAGCAGGAATGCTTTCCAGTGATGCTGTAAGGCATACATGCTGTCTTTTTTTTCCCTTGTAGGCCTGTTGACTGGGGCTGCTTTTAACCCTTTCATGTTTGCAGAGAATGCAACTGTGTGACAGTAACTGAGCACTGGTCCAAAGTCTTTCCCAAAGGTCAAGGTTCACAAGGTGAGATACGATATTTTGAGCATGAATTTAAGTATTTATTTGAAGATCCATTCAGACACAAACTGACAGTGGATTGGTACCCTGGAGATAATACTGGGTTCGGAGTGGAGAGGAGAAGAAAGAGTCTTAATGTTACCCATGTTTAATGGGATTAGGCTGACTTTACGACGGTGTTTCTGTCCAGGTGGAATCAGAATGACTTCATGAAATCGTGGTGTCTAGTCATTGAGAAGAGTCAGGCCTGCAAAAAGAAGCAAGTTGAGAGGATGGTAGGCGGCAGGGCCTCGTGGAGAATGCACTGTTTTGCATAAGACTAAAAGCAATACACAGGGAGCATTTTCTCAATAATTACAAAAAAAGAAAAAGCCAGGACTTTTTAAAATCAAGGCAGCCCTGCCACTTTTGGGGGGTTTGAGAGGACTGAAGGTAGGTTCGCCTTTTGTTCATTCACCCCCTTTCTTTGACCGGGCTCTCTGTGTGTTAGCCTGAAAGGTTTTTCACTCTGAGTCAAGTGGTGGAATGGCTTTTATTGATTTTGGGGGCTGTTGACGGTGAGTTTGCCATTGGATTATTTGTGGCATACATTTCAACGTGGAATCCGTATGCAGTGCCCGGAAGAAAGCGGGTTCTCCGGCTTCCTCTGTGAAGATGCCCGTTCACTCAAAGCCTTCCAGCCCTGGATGGCTGAACACGTCTAACGCCTTACGAGACTGCGGTTCGGTTTGAGCTGGCTTTTTTTACGCACCCCCCAGAAGCAGAGGTTTTGGAGGAGAGAGAAGGAAGCAGTAATGAGTATAGCCAAGGGAAGAACAAAGGCAGTGAGAGCTTACAGGGGAACACTAAACATTTTGCCTTGGGGGTTCCTTGTGAAAAGAACTTCCACTTCCCCAAACAGGAAACCAGCAGCTCCAGAGTCACATCCAATGTGATGTCATCAACAGAGCTGGTTCTGTCTTCTGGCTTGCTAAAAAGTGCAGTCAAGGGGAGCCCACACAAGACAGGACTGAGAATAAATTTCTCCCTTACTTTGAAGAGGGCATTTTGTTCCTCTTCGCGGTCAGCAGAACAGAGCCTTTTCAGAAACGCCCAGGATCTTAGAATTGGTTGTATGCAGGCATTTGGTGGGCAGAGTGTCTGCCCTGCAGGGTGACAAGTAGGCAAGGGTTTTTATTGTTCAGAAATGGTGCGTGTGGTCGCAGAGCATCCAGTGTGTGCGAGAGCTGGCAGAGGGAGCCTGGAGTGTACGTGGTTAGTCAGAATACTTTGTGTAGCATTTAACAGACAAAGATGTGATCTCGGGCTGGTATACCAGTGACTACCTTCCACGCGGGGACGAAATTCTTTACAAGTCCCTGCTGCAGTTGGTTTTCAGTTCTACGTTTTGCACGGCCAGAGGTGCTGTGCCTGAGTGTGGGCAGGAATCTGCTTGCAAAGCAGGTCCTGGTCCATGTTGCATGATATGCTGCTCCGGCTTTTTTGGTGCCAACGAAAACTCAGATGGCTAATATGATAAACCTTCATTAGCTTGATACAATAAGCTGTTTTATAATTGAGTCCTTCACTCCCATCTTTAGAAAGCCAGTGACTTGTATTTAACTTTGACAGCTAACCCTTTGCAGGGACTCTTTCTTGATATAACATGTTTAAAAGCCCTTTTTGTAAAGCAGTGCATGTCACAGAATGTTCTGGTTTACTCTCTGTGGTTTTGAGCTTTGTTCCTCCCCCTCCACCAGAAGGCTCCTGGAAAATAGCATTTGTTTTGCATTTAGGCCGGTCTTTCCAGCTGCAAATGCAGCGTGAGGTTGGAGAGCTGGTTCTCCAGGGCGGCCATCAGGGAGCTCATCTTGGATTGAGGTCTGTCTCAGGTGGCGGCCTCCTGCTGAGGTCTGACAATGGCAGCCCAGGGCCCCGGGGGAGAGGATCAGAGTTTTCTGAGCTTGGGAATGTGAATGTGAGCGTGGAGGGCAGCAACAGCATTAGCATTTTCTTTCCTGGAGGAGCTGGGAGGGAGCAAACCGGGTGGCACCCACACTTGGGGCCGCGGCCTGTGTGTGGCCCACCCTGTCGCCTGGGAGGCAGCCACACCGGGAGCCCCGAGCCCTGCGGCAGTCCCCAAGGCGACCCTTCCCTCTGGAGCAGGAGTGTGTGGGTTTGGCTGAAGACGGTACGCTGGAAAGGGAGTGTCACAGGGTGTCAAACCTTTGCTTGTTTTGTCATTTGCCTACTGTGAGAACGATTTTTTCCACGTGAAAGAACGTGGGATCCAGGGATTTTAGAGCCTCTGCGTCCTGGTTCAGAAGGCCTCTCCCTCTCTTTTCCCCTTCTTCCTCTCAAAGAGATTCCCTGCCTCCCTCCACCCTTTTTGTGGAGGCAGCCAACAAGTAATGGAATTTTCTGCCTACACCTCTGACCAGGGTGGGTTAGAATTTTAGGATTTCTAGTCGCCCAGCCCCTTGACTTTTTCCTCTTGAAATACTTTCTTTAGCATTCCCCTGGGGTGTCCTCTGTCTGCTGCTGGTGTTGAGTAAGCTCCCCCACGTCCTTGGTGGAACTCCATGGGGCTGTGCACAGCTGGGGCAGAGGTTACGCGTACTGGGGGACCTCGCGGAGGTTGCCAGTGCAAGAGGAACTGGACGGACTGGGAACGACCTGGGATTATTCCCTTGTGCCCCCAGGGCCTCTCTCCCTAATCAGCTCAGTGCCGGAAGGACAGCGCTGACGGCAGTCACCCCTGTGTGCGCCACGTTTAGGGAGTGATCTTTAAACAAGTCACGATTTACTAATTAATTATTTCCATTTTTAAATTTTCACACGGTAAAATTGACTTGGTGGTGGACAGTTCTCTGGGTTCGATTAGTGTATGACCCTGTGTATCAGCCACCACTATCCATAATAAGGAATCTTTCTATCGCGCCCCAAATCGTCCTCCTGCTGTCCCTTTGCAGTTGGACTCCTCCCCCCACCCCAGCCCCCCCCCCGGCAGCCACTGATTTGTTCTGTCCCTGTGTCGGTTCCCAGAAGGCCGTGCAGATGGCTTCTTTCGCTTAGCAAAGTGCATCTGAGATCCATCCATCTTACTGAGTGTGCCCATGTTTGGCTCTTTTGCATTGTCAAGTTGTGGACCTCGCTGTGGGTGTACCTCAGTTTTTTGCCCACTCCCCGACTGAAGGACATCAGGGTTATCTTCAGTGTTGGGTGATTGTGAAGAAAGCTGCTGAAACCATTTGCCTACAGGGCTCTGTTTGAATGTAAGTTTTTATATCTTGTTGGGAAAGGCTTTGGAGTGAAATGGCTGGGTTGCATGGCGAGTACATAAGAATTAGAAGTTTCGATGAAAATATGTTCAGCTCTCCAACAGCTCACAAAACAGGACCTAGCCTTGTCAGCTGAGTTAAGGCTTTTCGAGGAGGAGATTGTAGTGAACATTATCTGAAGACAAATGAGAGATGTTCGTGATAATAGACCACTCGCTAACAGGATGACATGCTTTATAACCCAGAACTAATCGGAATTAGCAAAAGTGGAAACAAAAAACTGCAAGTGGGTAAAATCTCCTTTATTTCCTACAGCAATTATTTTGAATCTCTTCAGAAACATTGGGCACTTTAATTTTTACATTTGTCTTCAGGTTCAGTAAGACGCCAAACTAATAGAACCAGAATTTTTCAAAGTGGTACCAAAGATCTTTGTTGAAATCTCAGCTGTACAAACAATTATAATGTGTCTGACTTAATTGTCTGCCAAAATATTGATTGTGTTTAATATTTGAAGTTATTATTCAGCTTTTTATAGCTTTTAAGGAGGCGAAAATAGTTGCGTAATATGAAAGCAATGAAGTAGGTAGATTTTGGAGGTAGATTTTGTGTGTGTGTGTGTGTGTGAGGATAAAATAGTGTTAAATACCGGGGAGAACGAGGAGGAAGAACAAGCGGACCAAAGTTGTGATATAGAGGGGGAGAGCCCAGAAAAGTGGGGAGTGATGTTTAATTGGGGGTTATGTCACCTACTTAACAGATACTTACGGAGTGTTAGGCACTGGGGGTACCGAAGGGAGAGGAACCCAGAGAAAATGAGTGGGAAGTAGCCTTACCGAAGCTATGGCAGGAATGTGAATGGACCACCCAATGCCATGTGTCCAGAGAGGAGACCTTGAAGAGGTGGCTTCCAAGCTGAACTGTGAAAGACCAGTAAGGACAGGTAAGGCAGGCAAGGAGGAGGGGAGAAGGAGGGTCTTGTGGAGCAGCGTGTGGAGGGGCACCGAGGGAGTTGGTGTGGCCAGCGATTTGGGAGAGTGCAGTGTGGGTGAATAGAGGAAGCTTCGGAGGCCGTCCAGGGCCAGACTTCTGAAGGTCAGTCTGTACGGTCCATCGGTGTGTGGACTTCTTTGTGTAGGCAGGCTAGGCAGAAAGACTTAACTTCTAGCCCGGGCTGGGTGGCTCAATTGGTTAGAGCATCATCCTGGTACACCCAGGTGGTCCTGATACACCAAGGTGGCAGGTTGGATCCCTGGTCAGGGCGTGTACAAGAAGCAACAATGGATGCATAAATAAGTGGAACAAGCCCATTTCTGTCTTTCTCTCTGCCTTCCTCTTTCTAAAAAGAGAGATTTAAAAAATCAATTTAAATAAGAGACAGAGACTTACTTTTAATCACAAAGGTCCTGGGTTTGTCCTCGGGAGGATGAAGTGGAAGCTGTTCAGCCCGGAGGCAGGGAGGTCCAGTGATGGGACCAGGGCCTGATCCAAGGTGTGGGCAGTGGTGATGGGGGAGGGGTGGTGGCTGCTTTGGGGGCAGGTGTGCAGGTGGTGGTGCCTGGTGAGGGACAGAGGACTGACTACAGGAGGGTGGTTAGGGGCTCTTGGAGGTTACTTGCTGGAGTGGTTTCCATGGCTGGGATCCGGAATTTAGAAGGCAGAAGACATTTGGAGGGTGGAGGTGGGGGGGCTGAATACAGCGAGTTCAAGGTGTTGTTGAGTTGCCCTGTGGGCGTGTCCTTCGTC